GTAGTATTCCATTATATATCTATAATTGTGTGTGTATCTATATGTATATATAATTGTATATATACACACCACATCTTCTTTACGCAGTCATCTGTTGATGGACATTTAGGTTGCTTCCATGTCTTGGCTATTGTAAATAGGGCTGCTATGAACATTGGGGTGCATGTATCTTTTTGAGTCAGAGTTTTCTTCAGATACATGCCCAGGAATGGGATTCCTGGATCATATGGTAACTCTGTTTTTAGTTTTTAAGGAATCTCCATACTATTTTCCACAGTAGCTGCACCAAACTACATTCCCACCAACAGTGTAGGAGGGTTCCCTTTTCTCCACATCCTCTCCAGCATTTATTGTTTGTAGATTTTTAAATAATGACCCTTTTTACTGGTGTGAGGTGATAAACCGCATTGTGGTTTTGATTTGCATTTCTCTAATAATTAGCAATGTGGAGCATCTTTTCACATGCCTGTTGGCCATCTGTATGTCTTTGGAGAAATGTCTATTTAGGTCTTCCGCCCAGTTTCGATTGGGTTTGTTTTTTTTGTTATTGAGTTATATGAGCTATTTGTATATTCTGGAAATTAAGCCCTTGTCAGTCACATCGTTTGCAAATATTTTCTTCTAGTCTGTAGGTTGTCTTTTCGTTTTGTTTATGGTTTCCATTGCTGCGTAAAAGCTTATAAGTTTGATTAGGTCCCATTTGTTTTGTTTTTGTTTTTGTTTTTTTGCTTTTATCTCTGTTGTCTTGGGAGACTGACTTAGGATAACATTGCCAAGATTTATGTCGGAGAATGTTTTGCCTATGTTCTCTTCTAGGAGATTTATGGTATCCTGTCTTATGATTAAGTCTTTAAGCCGTTTTGAGTTTATTTTTGTGTATAGTATGAAGGAGTATTCTAACTTCATTGATCTACATGCAGCTGTCCAGCTTTCCCAACACCACTTGCTGAAGAGACTGTCTTTTCTAAATTGAAAGACATTCTCATTTAATTGGTGTGTATTCTTAAAACATGTTAAATTTATGAAAGACAAAGATTTAGTAACTTTTTCAGATTGAAGAATTAAGAAAGCTTGACAACTTAGTGCAACACAGACTTGAATGTTCTTTTGCTAAAGGAGATTATTGGGACAATAGGCAAAATTGGAAAAAGGTAGATACAGTATTACATCAGTATTAATTTCCTGATTTGCATAGTTTTACTATCATTATGTAAAATAATGTTCTTCTTTTTAGGAAATACAGTATACATTAAAGTTATCTAGGGTTAAAGGCAGCAAGTCTACAATTTACTCTCAAGCAGTTCAGAAAATTTTTATTAATCTGTTTATGTATATGTATAGAAATTATAAAGTAAATGTGGTAAAATGTTAACATTTAAGGAATCTGGATGAAGTATATATGGGATGTTTCTAAGTCTGAAATTGTCAAAATGAAAAATTAAAACCTACAGGTTTATGTCAACAAAAAGAATCCTTCAGGTATTCCTGTAGTTTTCAGGTTAATTCTAGTGCTGGTGTAGTGTCCCAGGGCCTTCCTAACTTCCTTACTCTTAATTTATCCATCCCTTTCCGAACTTCTGGTGCTAGTATGCTATTTCTTTGCTGTTGATTGAGCCAGGTTCTTTTGGTTGTAAGATACAGAAAACCAATTTAAAGTAGCTTAAGCAAAAAGAGGATACACAGGGTGGTGTCTCACAGAAACCAAAGGTTGGAAGACAGCAGGGTCTTGGGAATAAATCCAGCCCTCTGAAGCCTCAGGACTTTCCAGCTCTCATCCAGGCCTTTCTCACTGTGTCTGTTTCAGTCTTTTCTTTCGCTCTGTAGATTTGTCTTCCTCAGTCCACATAACAGGTAGAGAAAGAACAACTTCTCTTTCTTGGTGTCAAGCTCAAATTCTCAGAGATAGGATCCGTTGACCCTGCTTGGATTGCACGCTCACCCGTGGCCCAGTCAGCTGTAGCTTAGGGTCAAGTCTTACTGGTGAGCCATGTGGCTGAGAGAGAAAAGGAGAATTCCTAGTGAAGCACGCCATGGGTACGCGCTGCAGCTCTCAGTGATGGAGGCACACAGGGCAGTGACACTGTGGGCTGCTCTTGGCTCTCTTTCCACCATCTTCATTGTTCATTTCAGTGAGTTGCAATAAGGAAAATCACAAGGGGCCTTAGTTCTGGGTTTTACATTTCACTTTATGTCTTTAATATCATCCTTCATGTACTCACCCTAATCCATCACTGTTGACGGGTTATTCAAGGGAATGTTGGCATAGTAACTGAAGGCCAGCAGTCTAATGAGAGACACAAATATGGATATCCCCATTTTATATGAAGATAGCCAGACCAGGGTGGTTTACAGTAGCAATTTTGGAGGGTTTGTTAGTAAGCCCAAGGCCCTGAATTTAGGCCCTTGAGATGGAGGAATAAGCATGCAGAGAAATGGTGGTGACGGAGGTCAGTGTAATTGTAGCAGTGGCATCGGGTATCATTGTCTCTTATAAAACAGATAAAGAAAGATAAGTGGTTCCAAAGTGAGCCTTGTAATTTCTTGTATCCATCAGCCTTGTGTGTTAATCAGGATTTTTCTCAGGTTAAAGAGATAAACTAGTAAACATACTAGGGAATTTACTGGCTCGTGTAACTTATGTTTGGAAAGTGATTGTGGCTTCATGCATGGCTAAGTCCAGGATCTCGAGTGATTTCATCTGAATTTGAGTTCTCAGCTCGGCTTTCTGCATTATAGCTGCATTCTATAAGCAGCCTTTCCTCGGTAATGGCAGAGATGGTCACTGACTTCTCTGAGCTGAGCATCCTACCAGCTGTGCACCCCCAGGGGAAAGAGTGCCCCTTGAGAGCTCCAGTAGAGTCCCAGGCATCTCTCACTGACCCGGGTTGGGTCACATGTCCACTAGGAACCAGTGTGTGATTCCTGAGGGAAAACTGGTGCTGTTTGCAGACAATAGGGTGTTAAGTAGACAAAATACATGTCCACTCTACCCTGGTTGCTGGGAAGCTTCCAGTTAAAGCAACATTTAATCACACCAAACACTTTATTGTTTTGTAAAGAACTGTGCTTGCTGCAAAATTGGGTGTAGAATATGAGTTCCTACTCCTGAGAAATTTTTAATCAAGTAATAGAAATCAGATGTGTACATAAATAATGGTTACTCTCATGTACTGAGTGCCTAGTATGTGCCAGCAGGCACTTTGCTAAGTGTTTCATATGCCTTGTCTCTTTGAGGACAACTCTGTGAGAGTCACTTCTATTATTACTTATACCCATTTTATCTATTTAAAAAACCATTTAGGCTTTGGAAATGTGCAGAGTCTACCCAAGTCACACAGCTAATCAGTAGTAGACTTGGGGATGTCACACCCGTCAGTTTTGACTCAATCCAGTGCTGTACTTTGGCTTGCACTTGACCTGTCGAGGCCCTCAGCATCCATCCCATCTTCACCGCCTGCCCCGCCTCTACTGGACAGAGTGATTCTAAATTCCTGAGAACAATGTGATTGACTAGCTCATCTTTTTCAGGACATCACAGCTGATGGCTGATCTGTAGATTGTCTGCCCATCCTTGATCCAATTAGCCCACTGGTTGGATGTCCACAGGGGAGTTTCAGTTACTGTTCAGTGACCTCTTCGTTGGGTTTGGCCTTTAGGAGCCCAAAGAAGGGCACGGCAGCCTCACTGCTCTTTGAGTCTTTGTTCTCCTGAATTTCCCTCCCATTCAGACTCTCACCATCTCTCTCCTGCCTAGATGTTCTTCCTGTCTCAGATCTTGCCCCTGTTCACAGACTGATTCTTAAAGGGGACTTTTATCACATCATTCCTTGTATATCTTTCAGATGCTCCCCATAGCCCTCAGGATGAAGTCCAAACTCCTTATATAAGGCTTCTCAGGGCCTGGCCCTTGCTGGCCTCTCCAGCCTTATGTTTTGACACTCCCTTTCTGGCACCCTTCATATCAGCCTTTTTCTGAACCGTTTATAATTCCCTGAACTCATCGTATCCCTTCCTGCTCTGGGCCATTAAATATGCTATGTCAT